TGGACGAATGAAATCGAAACAATAAACAAACAAGGAAATCAAAGACTTAATGAGAGAAAAGATAGCAAAATGAATAAATAAAGGGAACAAAATAAAGGAGACGAAATAGGGAGATAAGGAAATGGGGGAAAAGACAGGAAGAGAGGAGAGGGGGGGGGGGGCTTGAAAAATACAACAGCGGAGCGTGTGCGACTAAAGGGGCAAAACCACAAGAGGTGCAAAGGGTAAAGAAAAAATAATATAATTAAACAAAACAGGAAATTAACAATGTGGATCTCAGAGATGAAAAGAGAGAAAGAGAGAAAGAGAGTGAGAAAGAGAGAAAGAGAGAAAGAGAGAGAGAGAGAGAGAGAGAGAGAGAGAGAGAGAGAGAGAGAGAGAGAGAGAGAGAAACAAAGACAGACAGACAGAGAAACAACGACAGACAGAGAGAGAAACAAAGACAGACAGAGAGAGAGAGAAACAGAAAAAAAATAGAAGGAAAAAAACAGAGATACAGTGCGAGAAAAACAACAACAGACCCAAAACAACAAAAGAGGGCAAAAGAAGGGCAGGGGAGGGGGCGGGGGCACACGGGGGTGAAGGTCAGAGCCAAAAGCCAGGTCAAGGGCCGTTACCTACAGCATACTAACGAGGGGTCGCCGGAAGTCCGTAATGTCCTCGGCGAGGGGAACGGCGCGGGCGGAGGTCCCGAGGGCGAGGGTGGAGAGTGACAGGTGAAGGGAGAGTGGAGGGTGAAGGTCCCGAGGGTGAAGGTGGAGGGTGACAGGTGAAGGGAGAGTGGAGAGTGAGGGCGAAGGTCCCGAGAGAGAGGGTGGAGGGTGAGGGTGGAGGGTGAGGGTGGAGGGTGGAGGGTGACAGGTGAAAGGGAGAGTGTAGAGGGAGAGTGGAGAGTGGAGGGCGAAGTTCTCGAGGGTGAGGGTGATGAATATGGATAAAGGGAGCAACGTGGAAGAAGAGATAAGTGTAAGGAGCGAAAGGGCGAGCGTGAAGTGTGACAGGTGAGAGTGAGAAGTTAGGATGAGGGTAAGCAACGTGGAAAGTGAGATTGAAGAGTGACAAAATAAGCGTGAAATGAAGAAGAGGAAGAGTGAGACTGAACAGAGTCAGCCTTGTAAGGGTGAGGGAGAGCAACGCGAAAGCAAGAGTGAGCCTTGTAAGGGTGAGGGAGAGCAACGCGAAAGCAAGAGTGAGCCTTGTAAGGGTGAGGGAGAGCAACGCGAAAGCAAGAGTGAGCCTTGTAAGGGTGAGGGAGAGCAACGTAGAAACAAGAGTGACTGATGAGGGAGGAGACAGACAAGTAGGGGGGGGGGGGGGAAGTAATAGGTGAGGGTGATTAACGGAGAAGGAGAAGGAGACTCAGGGTGTAGAGTGACAGGTGAGAATGAGAGTGCCAGCTGCGGGAGGAAAATGACGGAAGGGTGAAGAGCGATAAGGAAGGCAGGAAGGAGAGAGGCAAATGACGACGAGGGAGGGAGGGAAGGAGGGAAGGAGGGAGGGAGGGAGGGAGGGAGGGAGGGAGAGAGAGAGAGAGAGAGAAGGGGGGGTGGGAGGGAGGGAGGGAGGGAGGGAGGGAGGGAGGGAAGGAGGGAAGGAGGGAAGGAGGGAGGGAGGGAGGGAGGGAGGGAGGGAGGGAGGGAGGGAGAGAGAGAGAGAAGGGGGGGTGGGAGGGAGGGAGGGAGGGGAGGGAGAGGAGAGGAGAGGAGAGGAAAGGAGAGGAGAGGAGAGAGGAGAGAGGAGAGAGGAGAGAGGAGAGAGGAGAGAGGAGAGAGGAGAGAGGAGAGAGAAGAGAGAGAAGGAGAAGAAGAGAAGAGAAGAGAGAGACAGATCCAGTGAGAGTGACTAACAGACGAAGAAAGAGAGACAAATAAGGACGAGAGCGAGAGCGCGAGGCAGAGGACGCCGATCCTTTTGGGGGGGCCGCCAATGCCACGGCTTCGAAAGTGCCGAATTCCGTGGCACTTTTGACCTTCGCTCCGTCAGCCGATCCGGAGGCGGGCGCGACCGGGGCAGCTAAGAGGGGGGGGGGGACTTTTTTTCCCCCTTTTTATCTATTCATTCATTCATTCGTTGACGCGCTCGTAGAACTTTCTTTTTTTATTGTCTTTCTTCAATCTCTTTTCCGGGACCACACATACTGCGTGTGTGTGTGTGTGTGTGTGTGTGTGTGTGTGTGTGTGTGTGTGTGTGTGTGTGTGTGTGTGTGTGTGTGTGTGTGTGTGTGTGTATGAAACCGATAGTTGTGGAAGCGTCTGAGGCTTGGGGAAGTAAATGTGTAAAAATTTTGAAAAGCACTGGATTATGTATAGAGCAGATGACAAAAAGAGAGAGAGAGAGAGAGAGAGAGAGAGAGAGAGAGAGAGAGAGAGAGAGAGAGAGAGAGAGAGAGAGAGAGAGAGAGAGAGAGAGAGAGAGAGAAAGAGAAAGAGAAACAGAGAGAGTGAGATTGAGAGAGAGATAAAATAGCGAGGGAGAGCGAGGAAGAGAGAGGAAGGAGAAT